CATTTATTTTTGCAGAATATAATGAACATGACCTTTGATGCAAACATGCTTTTCTGTCCTAGTGAAATGAATTGTTTAGAGACAGGAAAGCAAAACTGAGGTTAAAAAAAAAGTAATGGGAACAAATGAATGATGAATAATCATAAAGATGAGAAAATCTATATAGATTTTACTGCATGATTGCACCATGGGGTGGAACAAAACTTCTATTTGCAATTCTTTTTAAAGAATTCTTTGTAAAATAATTCTCAACACCAAATTTACCTTTTTCACAGCTGCCACATACTAGGCCAATGCCACTACTAAGCTATTAGACAAAATGTCAAATCTATTTCCTGTTCAGTCACCATCAGTTCAGACCCACTGATATATCACAGCACACACATTTAATAGAATAGAGATTTACCTCTTGAGAACAACCACAACTTTTGAAGGCAAGCCGTTACACTGGTTAATTGTTCTAACTGTCTAAATTTCTCCTTAGTTCTAGATTACTTCTCCTCCTTGGTTAGTCCTTGTCCTACCTTCAGGTGTTTTGGAGAAGAGGTTGACCCCCTCTTCTTTGTAACAGCCCCTTAGATGTAGGAATACTGCTATCATGTCATTCCTGATCCTTCTTTTCACCAGACTAGCCATACCCAATTCCTGCAACACTTGTCTTTATGGTTTACCATAAAGCAAATAAGAAAAGTGACAACAGAAGAGGGGAAAAACAATGGGAAAAGGCTTCTACCCCTAATAGCCTTCTGCTCATTGTCCAACTTCCAGCATCTCTGGGTTCCTTGTCTTGAATGGAGGATTTTCCATGCATAGGGTTTTTTTTTCTTGAATGCAGGTAAAATTTTCTATGGATTAAGAACATTCCTAAAGCAAAAGTTCTTGATTGCTATTCAAATATAGCCTTTTGTCTGTGATAGGCAGATTCTCCCTGTTCAGCACGGTGCAGGGAGATATGGAGATCATGGTAGATACTTAAGTTTCAAGTTAGCATTTCCATTTGGGCAATATACCTGAATATATATGGAAACATGGCAGACACATCGGTTCCAGGAGATGCAAGGTTAATAGTTGCCTTAGAAAATATGACCCCTGTGATAGCTAGTGGTTTTTCATAGTTTTTCCAAACCATCCAGCTTTCTATGATTATTTTCCAGGCAGAAAAAGGTACAACAAAGCAATATATAATATATTCTTATTACTCCCATGTATGGCTCTGCTTTGTAATTCTATTTGGCAGTTCCAAGATTCACATTCTGAAAACTGAATTTTATCGCTTGCCTAGGTCATTCCACTAAACATGGGATAAGACTAGTAGTATGGGCACTTAAGGTTTGTGAAATCCTGTGACACTACAGAATATAATGTGTTCTATATTGGCTGATCCTAAATGAAATCAACCCTGACTGTTCTTTGGACAAACAGATACTGGAATTGAAGCCCAAATACTTTGGCCATCTAATGAGAGGAGAGGATTCATTGGAAAAGCCCTTGATGTTGGGAAAGATTGAAGGCAAAAGGAGAAGGAGATGGCAGAGAATGAGATGATTAGATAGTCTCATTGATGCAATGAACATGAATTTGGGCAAACTCTCAGAGACAGGAGAGGACAGGGAGCCTGGCATGCTATAGTCCATAGGGTTGCAAAGAGTCAGACACAACTTAGTGACTGAGTAACAACGACAAATACTTGTCAAATACTCGTAAGCTGACAAAATAGTGAAATAAGATGAATAAGATTGTAATTTGTATGATAAAAACTAACTGGCCAAAACCTCAACTTTAGAATAGAGCAGAAAAATGAAGTTATGAATATTACATGGATAAAAAATGAACTGATTTAAACTACTGAGTTGAACTTTCTGCTATTGTCCATTCTTGACTATTTGTCCTAGCAGAACAATGAGCCCATACAGTATACTTGCTGTCCAAAACACATGATTTTGAAATTTAATTACCAAGGTTTATGCAATGCTTACGATTTTTGCCTGATCTTGCATGTATAAACTAAATCTTTCGGAAAATGAGTGGAGGAAAGATAGAATGCAAAGCAGCAGAAGAAAACAATATTGAAACAAATTGGAAAGCTGAACTAGAATTCTAAAGTACCATCCCTTTAATCGTGCTGTGAGTTCCTACTCTTTCATAACGAGGTAGGAAAAAATAAAGATGCCAATAAAATAAATCAACTGAAACAGTTTTTATTGGGTAAGGTCATCTGCATCTTAAAGAGGGAAAAAAGATAATAAAATATATTAGTTACAATTCCTTCATGCTGTGAAACAAAATGAAATAATTATGAGGTTACATAAACTGAAACGTTTGCTGAGTGGATGATTATAAACCATGTAAGCTTTAGAGGAGAAATTTGAAGACCCAGAGGAAGCCATGTGAAATCATTAGACGAGAGGCCACACCATACATCAATCTAGAGCAGTGGTTCTCAACCTGTGGGTCGGGACCCCATTTGGGGTCGAACGACCATTTCACGGGGGTCGCCAAACAATGCAGTCCGCCATTTCCCCCCCTTTTCCTTAACTGTGCTACTCCCTTTTATTCTATTGGCTTTTGAAAGCCAATAGAATAGCCTCTCTTGAATAGAGTCTAATTTTATTGGCTTTCAAAAGCCAATAGGAATTGTCTAGGCTGTCTCTGCCCTGCTGAGCCCGCCAAAAGTCCCATTCTGCAAACGGTGCTGCACCAGTTGAGTAGTCCTCAACGTACGACCGGTTGGGGGTCGCGGCATTAAAAAGGTTGAGAACCACTGATCTAGAGAAAGGATGTGGAATAAAAAACAGAGTCTCCAAAAAAAGTCCAGTGTTCACTGTATGTACTTTGATTCAGTAAAACATTACAGTATCACACTTGGCTCCTGTGTTTCCTTCCATTAGGCAACAGCTTCTGCTCTTCATAATTCATAAAAGTCTTGCAATCGAGTAGAGTAAAAGGTGGGTGGATGGATGGATGGATGGATGGAGGACTGGGACACATTGGCTAATTTCTTCTTCATGTTGCAAAAGATTTCCCCATTTTTCAGAACAGCATTTGCTGGAGTGCAAGGGTTTAAAAAACAGCGGGAGGATGTTTCTTCCAAACTATCCCATGAGTAAAATACTGAAGTTTTATTCCACCCTGCTCTAGAGAAGACCTGACCCCAATCATCACTGAGTCCCGTAGATAGGATCACCCTTAAACGTAGGAGAATGTATTACACAAAGCACATTCATTAAAAAGCATACTTAAAAAGCGCTTTTTAGGTAGACAAAGGAAGATGTTTGGTTTCTCCAGTCAATTGCCTAAAAATAGAGGAATGATTTCAGGATCCCTGAAGTTTCTATCTGTCCCCAAAAGGAACATTTTTTCTTTACAGCAATAGGTCTCAACCTATGGTGCACGGACTCCTAGGAGGCTATGATATGTCACAGGAGGTCCACGAAGGCCTGAAGAAATGTTATGATTTAAATCTTGAGTTACGTTTTGGGGGGGTCCACAGCCATGGTCCGTGGCCAAAAGGTATTTAAAAGGGGTTCACGGTGAAGAAAATCGGTGAGAACCACTGCTCTCCAGCATTTTTAAGGTTCTGCAGCAGCATTGTATATGAGCAATATTTCTGCAGAAGATGACACAGGGAAAAAAGAATTCAACTTTCTTCTCTCCAATGCTACAATCCTTAGCACAATCAAGGCCCACACAGCTGCTTTTTCAAAGGAAATGAAGAACGTGAAACAGGACTTTAAAACAATCCAAGTTTAATAGACTGTGTAGTTTGATCCTCAGGTGGGTTGTTTTCAAACATGATCCTCTTTTCGTTGGCCAGAAGCTCGACTGATGAGACTATGAGACCCTTGATTTCTTGATTAATCTTAGGAGTTTCAATATAATTTTGAAGACTGGGTGTGTGTTTTACCCCCCACCCTTTCTTTAAAATCAGTGACTATGTTAGTTTGGATCCATTCTGGAGATTTTGAAATTTCCTAATTAGCTCTTGATTTAAAGTTATGAGATACAATCAGAATATGTATCTCTTCTTATTCTACAATGTTCTGCAAACATCTATTTGATTCCCAGGCTCAGAGAATATCCTGCACAAGTATGTAAAGGGTAGAGTTGGTATTGGAGGGCTGTGAAACACATTTTGTCACTTGCCACACCAGTTTGAGACCTCTTGGTGAAATGTAGTGCTTGCTGCTCTGCCATGGAAAAGGTTTCTCTGACATATGATTTCACCTTTTATTGCAGTCTATAAATTAAACCATCTGTCTGTCGGAAAGGCTGGTTCCCTTTTAAGATAATTTCTGTTCCTGTAAGGAAAGTTCTCTCTTTTTTCCTAAATGTTATACAAGAAAGACACCTAAGACTAGAAACCATAATGGACTCTCTGGGGCTGAGAGACTAAAGCAACTTCTGTTGTACACCATTCATGTAGTCTTTCAGCCGTCAAGTTTTAAGGAGAATCAGAGCAAAGGCTCGTCAAGCTGGTTTCCCCCCAATTTGCTAAAGTTAATGCAGTGCTTTTAGCTCTTCTTAAGAAATGGAGGCCAGCAAGGTTGCTGATCATGCTACTTTCACCTTTACTAACTGCCAGTAAAAACAACATGAGGTAGATTGCAAATGTAACTATCTAGGTCTATTTGCTTGCATGGCAGGACATTGAAATTATTATTTTCTCACTATTTTGTTTTATATTTTCTATTCTTAAAATCGCCCTTGTAGCACATTCTGCAAGAGACATAGTTTATAACCAAAGGTAAACTACTGTATGTAGTGCTTGCTGGCATCAATCTGTTCAATAATGTCTCAACTGGCACCAATCTCACAACCTCATCTAATCTTATTATTTTAATTTTAAAAAAATTAAAGGAGAAGAATTAGGAACAGCATCTCTGAACTGCAAAAATCTAGGTGATTATTAGGTAGCAATAAAAGCAAATAAAATACTGTCATCCCTTGCTGCATTCTTGTGATTATCTAGCTTCCTCTAACCTAGATATCATGTCTCTTACCTTTGGCGTTCTCAAAAATTAAGATGGTAGATACTGGCAAAGGTTTTTCTTGGAAATGTGCTAACCTGGTCAGAAAAAAGATAAGTATAATCAGGGAAGCCAAGGAAGATTAAGTTTACTCCCCAGTTATTTCTTTTGGGTATTTTTGTGGATTTTGATGTTAAAGAAACTATTTTAATGTTGAATTTAATAACAGCAGCAAGGTTATTGATGGGTCAATATTGGAAGAAGGATACTCTGCCTTCTTTAGAAGAATGGGTATTTAAGGTTTCTAATCTAGCAGAAATGGCCAAAATTTCTGCTTATTTAAAGGACCATTCACAAGAGAGATATTTCAATGTATGGAGAAGATGGATAGAATATGTTCAGAAGAAGTATGGAACTACAAAGTTTCATTTATTTTATAAGTAATGAATTTGTTTAAACTTATGATGTTAAAGTTTGAAGAGAGTTAAGGGTTAGTATGATTTTGCTTTTTGTATAATTAGTAAACTTAATTAGATTATGTTTAGTATATTTGTATAATTCTGTACTTAGCTCTGGGAAGTCAGGGGGGAGGGGGGTGGGGAAGGATGGGTTGGAATTTTAATAGTTCAGATAAGTAGAAATAGTTTTTATTGTATATATATTGAGGTTTCAATTTGTAGAGAGGAATTGCTCGGACTTCCGGAACCGGCATCCACACAGAGAAACGGTTGTTCACATATTTGAATCCTACCACTGCTTATGACTGTTTTTCACATTGACAACTGTTGCAGCATCCCCCTGGTCACGTGATCAAAATTTAAACGCTTAGCAATTGATTCATATTTATGGTGATTGCATTCTTCCGGGGTCATGTGATCACCTTTTGTGGCAAGAAAATTTGTAAAAAGGGGCAAAACTCACTTAATAACTGTCTCGCTTAGCAACAGAAATTGAGGGCTCCATTGTACTCGTTAACCCGTGGACTATGTGTAGATGCATCTCGAACCTCTAAAGCATAGTCGTTCAAATCTTTCATAAAAGATGCTGTGGAGGACATGCAAGCAAGGTGAGTGACATCTGTGGTATCTTTGAGATTTCTATTACCAGCTAGAATAAGAGGGTGACAGTGACAGCCAATCACACCTGTGCAGCTTTCTTCTGCTCATATTTTTTTCCCTTCCATTCAATCTTATCTGATTCTCAGAGGCTACCTGGACAAATTCCTGGAGCTTTTGTGGCAGAGGTTTTTCAGAAGTGGTTTGCCCTTACCTGCTTCCTAGGGTTGAGAGAGACTGGCCCAAAGTCACTCAGCTGGCTTCACGTCTAAGATGGGACTAGAATTCCCAGTCTCCTGGTTTGTGGCCTAATGCCTTCACCACTACATCAAACTGGCTCTCTCATGAATATTAGAGGGAGCCCTTTTTTTATTGCCAGGATCTGTGAGTTTTTAGGATTTCTAGGAGATGAAGTGACACATATCTAGAGTGCTGTTATTAGAAGATAAAAAGTGAATCTAACTGAAAATGGGTGAGAACCTTTGCATTAAAGAAAATCTTCACAAGATGATTAGATAAATCTAGTATGTCAAAAAGAGAGGGACAAAAATCTCTTTCACTATGATGCTACTTTTTATTTTATTTGCAGGAAGTGTTCCTTTTCCATGACACAGCAAAACTTTCTTCATTCTGAAGTGAAGTAAGACCTTGGGACTCATTTTTTTCTGACCGTGAATCCTCTCTTCTCAGGACTTTTAGCCTGCTTATTTGGTAGCCTCAGCTACTGAAAATTACTGCTCTGGGTGAGAAGCTACAGGTGAGCGCTAAATATTTGATGGTTTTGGCAAGCAAAATAATGTGGATTATTTTGGGGGGGGGAGGGGCTATGGAAAAACTCAAACCGGACACTGTCTTTGAAGTCAGGATTTAATTCTCTAGTCCAGTTAAATTATTGTGCAGAATGGAGTGATTTTATTGCAATGCGACATACTATGTTTCATTACTACCAGAACTTTCAGACTGTGCAGTATTCCCCAGGAACATGATTTGTATTCTGTAGATTTGGACAGTAAATTACTAGCAGTAAATTACTGAAGCATCCTGTGGTGTCCTAGTTACTGCTTCAATCAAATATAATATGATGAGTGGAGATACAGGCTAGGTCTGTGCAAGCATAAAAAAAGAAGAAGCTATGGAACAATTATTTCTCTGTGAAAGGAATAGATTACTTTTATTTATTAAATTACTTCTCCATGAATATCTGACCTGATCTTGTCTCCTCTTTCCAATTTTATGTTACTGTTGTTGATGTCATCCTACCATTTTGTTAATCTTCCTTCTATTTTTTTGTTCTTATTTCATGTAGGGCTAGGGCCCGGAGTGAAAATTCCCAAAGTAACGGCAAGAACCAATTGAAGAAAATTAATTCCAGGCAATTCCAGTCCAAATGTAATATCTTAAAGCACATCACATAGGAGATTGGGTCAATGTACTCTTTCATTTTCAATGAGTTAGATTTAATACTCTTCCTTGGTGGAGCAGAACAACATTTATATAAAAGGGCAGAGTTAAGTGAGGTTGGGAACCTATAGTCTTCGAGATTTGCTGAAGTACAATTTCCAACAGCAAAAAGTCATCATGGGCAATGGTGAGTGATTCTAGGAGCTGTAGTATAGCAGCTACCATGTGGCTGAAAACATGCCTGCATTCACAAGGATGGGAATTCTTTACAATGGATACTTAAGGATACGGTAACTTATAGCCCTGTTTCTGCCTTTCTTTTCACCAATGACAAAATACATTTCATGACATCCATATGAATGTCAGGAATGGAGTTGCAACATCCCTGGTTGGGTCATGGAAAGAATTCAAATAAAAGATAAACCTTTGCAACTGGAAGGTACAATTATATCCTTAAGGCCTCTGATGTTTCCAAGATGTATGCTGGAGACATGGTGACTTGTTTCTTTCTGCCCTTGGGGAAAATAAGGTGGATATGGGCATTTATTTTTTTTTAAGGAAATAAGTATGCCTTCTTGCATTATTTTAATATATTCTTCGACTAGAAATGGTCAGGAATGATATTGTACATATACCGTGGGTACCTTGGCACTCAACTGGTTTGAAACTCATCAAATTTGTTACTCAATGCATTTTGATGTGAAAATTATGTCGTGGTACTCATTGTTTGTTTGGTACACAAGCTAGAATGTAATTGCTGTGGGCTGCCTTGTGACTCACTACATTATTTCTTTTGGGAAAAATTTGTTCAGTACTCATTGGTTTTGGTACTCGTCACACTTCCCGGAACCTATTAATGATGAGTAGCGAGATATTGTACTAAAAAAGCAAGTGGGGTTCCTCTCCCTCTGATGCAGCTGCTGGACTGTGATTTGGCATGAAGAACTAGCAGTGTAGAACAGAGGTCCCCAACCTTTTGGATACCAGGGACCGGTTCCGTGGAGAGAGGTTTTTCCACTGACTGGAGGGTGCATGGTTTTGTGTGCTGCCTGCATCTTGTGGATGGGGCTTTGCTTGTTTGTGTGACCTGGTTGCTGGCATGCCATGGCCCAGTACTGTCCATGGGTTGAGGATTCATGGTGTAGAATGTGTGAGACAAAAAACAGAATGCGACTTTTAAAGTAAAGGTTCCTAACAGGTGGCCACAGACAATTTAGGGGTCTGTGGATATGTTTCAGAGTTTCTATGAACTTCTATGGGGAAAAAAATTACTATATTTTCCCCAAATTCTAATTGAAATATAGTTTATGATTCAACAATGGACATAGGCAACAAAGTCATTTATGATCCTTAAAAGTTAACTTCAATATATCTCACTATCTAAAATTATTAGACCTTTCAAAAGAGTATTGAGTTATTACTGATTTAGTAGATTAATAAAGAAGCAGATTTATTATTTGTTATTCTTAATATTCTGATAAGAGCATTTGAGGCTAATGGTTTCCTTTGCAACACAGTCAATATCTATGTATTTTATTACACACATTTAAATACATTTTTCTGAGAAAGGGTTTGGAGGTTTTGGGTCCATGACACAAAAAATAACTCCTGATCGGAAGAATATTTACATTGCAAGAATATAAACTATGTTTTGCACTACTTGCTAAATGTGTCTGCACACCATCATCTAGGATCTGGCTTACAGTTTGGATGCAGTTTTGAATAACCTCTGATACACACAGCAGACTGAATCCATTGTAGCAAAGTAGGGCATGTATCATAACATTGTATTGATACCATTGTTTCTGAAGAAAAGATAAAGTATGTAAGATTATTTTGTGGGTTTTTTTAAATTCTCAAGTTTCAAAAAAATAAAGGGGCTGGTCTTTTGGTGCAAAGAATAAGTATTTGCAGTCAAAATAACTACCAACATTTTGCTCAGAAATAAGGCTATGTCCTATAGTATAAGATGTGGCCGCATGGTTCAGGGGAGTACATCAGCAACAGATAGACACATACACCATGCCATCCTTCCCTCTTTTGCTGGAAACTGGCAGATGTTATCTCAGAATTGTACCATACCTGTACTAAACCCTGGAACACCGGGAACTACCAGAGGATTAGAAAAGAGCTGAAATGGTTCCCATCTTCAAAAAAAGGGGGAAAAAACAGACCAAGGAAACTATAGACCAATCAGTCTAACATCAATACCTGGGAAGATACTGAAAAAGATAACAACAACAACAAAAAACCCAGATCAGTGAACATCTAGAAACAAATAAAATTATAACTAAAAGCTAGCATGGATTTGTTAAAAACAGATAATACCAAACCAATCTTATTTCATTCTTTGACAAAGTGACTAAATTAGTAGACCAGCAAAATGCTGTGGACATGGTATACTTAGACTTCAGCAAGGCATTCAACAAGGTAGACCATAACCTACTTCTTGGTAAGCTAGAAAAATATGGGATATATAGTTATCACCACCAAACCGTACTCAACAAGTTGTCCTCAATAGTACTACATCCACATGGAGAGAAGTAAGCAGTGGGGTACCACAAGGTTCTGCCTTAGGCCCAGTACTCTTCAATATCTTCATCAATGACTTAGATGAGGGAATAAAAGAGGAACTCATCAAA